TGCTCCCCTCAGCAGTACTTCATCAGTTACCTGTTCTGCTCCCCACTCTGTCCCTGGTAAATCCTCTTACCGCCCCTGCACCTTTGGCCTGTACCCCAGTTCTGTATGCATAAATAAAATAAATGTTTAAAAAATTATATAAAAAAATAAACTATAACCAACAGTCTGTGTTAATCAAGGGCCAATTTGCCATGGAGGTCAGTCACTGTTCCCCATATCTCTGAATGCAAGCAAGTCCAAAAACACTCCTTATATTTTGTATATGACATTTAGAGACAAATTCTCTTTAAGAAAATGGACTTGCTCATCCTCGCTATCTTTTCTATTATGTTGAATTTTGTTTCTTTGGTGAGTATAGAGAGTCACACTGCTAGACCTTTATCACACCTCTGTGTTCCTCAGGGAAGATTGCTTTGAGTGTTGGTACATAGGATGTTCTAGACTTGACTCTGAATATACTTATACTTTGTATGTTTCTAATATCCAATTGCACCCTCAAAGTGAGATTTGGCATTATTGGGAAAATGCTGTCAAGAATGAGCTAAAAGCCTGAAAGACAGTCCCTAAGTAGAATTTGAGCATCCTGGAGTAGCAGTGGCCTTGCCCACTGCTGTTAGTGTTTTTGCCATGGAAAGGACAAGGTAAGATGCAAAATTCAAATCTAATTGTTGATCTGAATGAAATTTTTTCATTCATTTGGAATCCCACATTACGGAGTAAAATACTATAATTTAATAAAAGGGTTCCACTGTATTATTAGGTACCATAACTTAATATACGAGCCACCATATGCATGTACACATACACACACACACACATACACACACAATTATTTGAACTCTGGTCATCTTTTGAAATCTTCGATTTTTAGAACAATATTTGTCTTATCAACAAGTTCAGTTGTTCTCATAAATGCCATGACTAGAATCACTTGGATTAAAAAAAAAATACTCATGTCCTGGATCTAGCTCTAATTTTCTAATTTTCTGATTTAATCAGTCTGGACTTGGCCCTAAGCATCTTTTTTTTTTTTTTTTTTCCTAACAACTCACCAGCATTTTTAATGTACAGCCTCTCCATGTCTAGTTACTTCATAAACTAATGATTTTCACTGGTAAATTTAGCTGGTTCCCATAAACACAAATACTGGAACTATTTCCTTTATAACATAAGTTTTAAAAAGCACCAACAGTCAAAGCTAAATAATTATATAAATTATTGCCAGTTTTACCAAAATTGACATAAGTGTATAAACTTAGCCAAAAGAAAAAAACAGAGATTAAAGCCACAGAGCCAGAACTTGAACTAGGTTCCTAATGGAGATTAATATTTTCTTCAGCGGTCTGCCAGCTGAATCATGGTCTAATTAAATAGTTCAAATTTAGTGAGCTTGCATTTAAAGTATTAGCAGATCGGAGAATGGGTAAAGCTAAAATGAGTTAGAATCTTTTCTGTAAATGGGAAGTTAAATTATCATAGTAATTTGATTAAATCATTTTTAAATCTCTCAAGCTAAATCACAGTCTTTAAAGAATAGTTTGAAGTCTTAATTGCTGTTTGTGAGCATATCTCTCTGCTATTTGTTCTCGCCTCATTTCCTGTGACACCCCATAATATATCTCCTGCCAGGCCAGAGTAGTAGGGAAGACAAGGCTTGGGGAGGGGGCATTGGGGACTGAGGTAACCATGCAGCTGGCTTCAAATGTCTGAAGATCTGCCATGCAGAAGGACATTTATCCTGTATTAGTCCAGCAACTAGACCAGGACCCAGGATGGAAGTTGGGGGGCAGATTTGGGAAAATATGAAGATGTTTCTAGTCCTTAGTACAGTTCCAGCTGGATGCTCTGCAGTCTGGCCATGTCTTCATTAAAGTGCCCGAGAGAAGATTCCTGATGAACAAGGAAGGTTGGAGGAGATAAGTGCAGAGGAGAAGAAAAAGGAAATGCTATTTATGCCCAGTGTTACGAATGTTGTACTTTGATTAAAGAAAACACTGAAGTTGAAGGCTGCTCTGACACTTAGGAGCCCTGACTTGAAAGACTGCAGGGAGATGAATTCAGGCCACGTTCTCAAAAAGCTTATCAGAGGTCTCCCCCCAAACGGGTCCTTAATAAATGGTACACTCAGCATATTTATTCTACTTTTTATTTTTGGTTGGGTTAGAAAATAGTTGTTTTAACTTTGTCTTTAAAATGTCTCTCCTGTTTTCCCTATCCATTTATTCCCCTCTTTCACTTAGAGTGTTAAGCGTTAACACTAGGTGAGGGAAGCTCTCCAGACCTGTGATGTAGGAGATAAATCTCCTGTCTGCCTGGACACACCTGGCGGCATGTGCCCATACTTGCCACACCCCCTTCAACCAGCATTTAAGTGCAACGCTACAGAGACATGTTGACTGATTCTCCGTCACTTACATCACCGACCTTTAGAAGTTAAGTGTGTTGGTTTCTAAGAGGAGAGGCGTAGGAAGAGGATGAAATTCCCCTCACCAAAAGGAATAGGATTGGAGCAATGCTTAGGGCAGGACCAGGCTCTGTGCTGAGGGAGCTGCCTGAGCCCCACTCCAGGACCTCATTATCAGTATTTCCAACCTGAAAGAATTCCTCCTTCCAGGAATAGAGAGCATTAAACACTGAGCAGCCATATTCCGGATCAGTCAAAACCCTTTAAAGAAATGTGTCATTAGCCACCTAATGTAAATAGTGCTTAATGTACCACTCAAGGGATAAAATGATTGAAAATGACAATGTCGAAGAAAAAAATAATAAACAAAATACAAAACAGTTTTTGCAACATGTTAGTAATTACTGTAGATGCTTTAATTAATTTGTCATATTTTTTCATATTTTTTGGTCATGTTTAGCTGCTTGGTTTTAAATAGCATTTCCTCCTTTTGTGCATGTGATCTGATATTTGAATTATATGAAAGATTAGGCTAACTACATATATCTTAGAGCTCTGCATTCTCAGAGAACTAGAATTATTAAACATGAAGAATCCCCCAAAGACTCCATTATGTGTAATTAACAGATAAACTGTCATCAGAATCAATAAAACGTGCTAAATGATTCAAACTTGTATATAATTAAGTGTCTGTTTTAGAGCTAGAGCTGTAACTTTTATTTTTTTCCTCCACATCTCACATTTCTCGCAAGAATAATTGTGGCAACCCTGTTAACCCTTTCCTTGCTTGATTGAATTTTATTTTTAAATGTGTCACTTGTGAGGCAAAAGTTCACCTTCACCAGTGTGAAAAATATTTCAGAACTCATTAATATGAAGACTTCATTTGTTTTTTTTTTTTTTAAGTAGAAAAGCAGATTGTGTAAATATGACTTCATAAACTGGTAATAGCACACTAAAATCTTTAAAACAATAAGCATTTTATTCTGATTTCTGTATAGTCTACAACTGAATGAAGTATAGATTTAGTGTGTGTACATGGAGTTCTTTTTTTTTAAGATATATTTATTTATGCCTGCAGAACTGGGGTACAGGCCAGAGGTGCAGGAGCTGTGAGAGGATTTACCAGAGGTAGAGCAAGGAGCAGGTCAGGAGAGGTCTGCCACACCATGTGGGTCACCTCCCTGGCCTGGGGTCAAACTAGCACTGAAGCAGCTGCAGGAGCTTCAGGGTGCTGCGCTTTAACCTGTTGCACCACCAGGGAGGGCCCTATACATGGAGTTCTGACTGTCTTGACCATCTTTAATTGACTTATAACATTATGTTAGTTGCAGTGTATATCATAATGATTCTACATTCATATATATTGCAAAATGACCTCCACAGTCAGTCTGCTGAACACCCAGTTGCCTTGTTATGATTAAGGCAGGAGTCTTCAAACTCCAGCCCATGGATTTTATCCAACCGCTATTCTTTTTTGTGTGGCATAATGAAGAGATGAAGAGAATAATAATTCATGAAAGGTGAATATTCTATGAAATTAAAATCCAATAAAAATGTTTTGTTGGCCAAAATTACATCAGCATTTTCCTTTTAGGTTACATGGGTTTTTTGTGGTGAAGATCAGAATTTCAGACAACTGTCCTTTTGTTATAGGGCACCCCAATTCTGTTAGAAGACAGGGGGAGAGGGGCACCCCTAAGCCCCAAAAACGTGCCTCTCTATGTGGGTTCTACCATCCACCGCAACAAGACAAAACATATAAAACTTTAATGAAAAGGGACTTTAATAAAGTGAATATACAATATGGAACACAAAGAATATAACTTCTAAATCAAACACCTGAAGTGACCCATCCCCTCGTGGGCAAAAGTCAACCCAAAAGGGAATGGCCCAAAGCAAGGCCTGAAAGCTGCCACAAGACTAAAGCACCATGGAAAAGGGTCAGAAATGGCCAGACACATCTGGGAGGAAAAGAGCAAAATCAAAATCAATATAAACACTGCCATAGTCACCTCCCTACAGGTATCTCACCCACATCTGCCTGAACCAGTCCAGGGTCAGGAAACAAGCAGTTTCTTCATCACATGCTTGCTGCTCCATGTGGCTTCCTCAGGTCTCCTCCATCCTGCTTCATTTCCTTCTCTTCTCTCCTTTTCTCTACTCAGCTCCACCTTCCTTCTGGGTGGGGCAGGGAACCTGGAACTTCCCTTCTCCTAGGGACCACCCAGTTACACTTTCACAGCTCTTAGATGAATACCCTGAATAGATGATCTTCCATAATTATTGAATAAATGAATAACACATGAATAAGACAATGAAGAAAATAGCCAAGCTTGTAAACTGTTAAGTCTTGCTGAGTCCACGCATGTTAAGTAATGGATCATTTGTGGTAACTCTGTATTCAAAATACTGGAATTCAGTACTGGAAATGATCTACTGAACTGAAACTTAGGATAAAAGAGATTCGGGAAATGACTAGATGAATCACAGCCTAGAGAAGAAGCTCAGGAAACATAGCTGACTTTCATATCATAGCCCTACACACATTTACTATCACTAATACTGTTTCTCAATGTTTTGCTTTGTTGTGCAGACTCCATGCACATAGAAGATGTGGAAGCAGTCCAGAAGCTTCAGGATGTCTTACACGAGGCCCTGCAGGATTACGAGGCTGGCCAGCACATGGAAGACCCTCGCAGGGCTGGCAAGATGCTGATGACGCTGCCCCTTCTGAGGCAGACCTCCACCAAGGCAGTGCAACACTTCTACAACATCAAACTAGAAGGCAAAGTACCCATGCACAAACTTTTTTTGGAAATGCTGGAGGCCAAGGTCTGACTAAGAGCTTCCTGGGCCCTCCTCTCCTGCACGCAGAAAAAAGGGAAAATAAACCCTGGAGTGATGTCGAAGAAACTTAGAGTTTAGTCAACAACATCAAAATTTCACAAAGACTGCACTGAAAATTTAGCAGCAAGACTATGAAGCAGCTTTTAGATTCCTCTGTATCTTCCTGCTGAATTTCTATCTTACCTCATTTGCTTTTCTCCCATTCTTCTCTCATTTTTCTTCCTCTGTTTCTCTCTCCTTTATTCCTCGTCTCCCTCATGTGTTAGCTTCCTTCATTACCGGTTCCTTCTCTTCCCATTTCCTTCCTTCTCCTTCCCCCCCTCCTTCTTTCCTCTCCCTCTCTCCCTCCTATCCTCCTTCACTCCCTCCTGCACTCCTCCCTCACCTTTCTTATCTCCCTTTCTAAATTTTAAATAGCTCAGTTGTAAGAATTTCTTTGTTTTTCCTCCTTCCTCCCTTCCTTCTGCTGCTGAACTTTTAAAAGAAGTCTCTAATTGAAGAGAATTGGAAGCCAGCCCTGCCAAAGGATGGAGATCCATAATATGGATACCAGTGAACTTATTGTGAACCATAAGTCCCCAATGACTAAGGAATCAAAGAGAGAGAACCACCGTACCTAAAAGTACAGTGTGACATAAAGGAATTGACTGAGTGCAGTATTAGATTTCACGGGAGCAGCCTCTAATTCGACAACTTGAGCAACGTGGCATCGGCTGCTTCTTATCATTGCTTTTCCGTGTAGATCAGTTACAGCCATTTGATTCCTTAATTGTTTTTTCAAAGTCTTCCAGGTATTTGTTAGTTTAGCTACTATGTAACTTTTTCAGGGAATAGTTTAAGCTTTATTCATTCATGCAATACTAAAGAGAAATAAGAATACTGCAATTTTGTGCTGGCTTTGAACAATTATGAACAATAATGAAGGACAAATGAATCCTGAAGGAAGATTTTTAAAAAAAAAAAAGTTTTGTTTCTTCTTACAAATGGAGATTTTTTTGTACCAGCTTTACCACTTTTCAGCCATTTATTAATATGGGAATTTAACTTACTCAAGCAATAGTTGAAGGGAAGGTGCATATTATCACGGATGCAATTTATGTTGTGTGCTGGTCTGGTCCCAAACATCAGTTTCTTAACTTGAGCTCCAGTTTACCTAAACGTGCACTGACACGAAGGGTTAGATTGCACCTGCAGGGATGCGAGCAGTCACCTGTGTAAGCACCGCCCTTGGAATGCAGATCGGTAGAATTATCAGGAGTGCCCCTCTCTGCGTGGAGGTACAGTTGCTATGTGACTTCTAGCTGCCGAGGTGGTTAGGAATGAGATACTGCCTGCTTGCAAAGTTACTGACCTTGTCCCAGAAGGAGCTGTGAGCCAGTATTCATTTAAGAGGCAATAAGGCAAATGCCAGAATTTGGAAAAAAAAAATATATATATATATAATACATACATATATATATATATATATATATATATATACAGATAAATCATCAAAGACCGCAGACGCCTGACCAAATTCTAAATCCTAATCTCTAATCTCTATGAGTTTATGCATTTAGGAATGTTTGTTTAAATTAATCTGCAGTTTTTTACCAAGAGCTAAGCCAATATATGTGCTTTTCAACCAGTATTGTCACAGCAAGAAAGTCAGGTTCCAGACTGTTAAGAGGTGTAATCTAATGAAGAAATCGATTAGATGCCCCCCGAAATCTGCAGTCACTGAATAACCAATAAACAGTAACCTCCATCAAATGCTATACCAATGGACCAGTGTTAGTAGCTGCTCCCTGTACTATGTGAACAGTCTTATTCTATGTACACAGATGTAATTAAAATTGTAATCCTAACAAACGAAAGAAAATGTAGTTCAGCTTTTCAGCGTTTCATGTTTGCTGTGCTTTTCGGAATTTTCTGTTGCATTCAAAGACTGTTGTTCTTGTTCTTGTGGTGTTTGGATTCTTGTGGTGTGTGCTTTTAGACACAGGGTAGAATTAGAGACCATATTGGATGTACAATTCCTCAGGAGACTCCAGTAGTATATTCTCTTCCTTACCAGTAATAAGGTTCTTCTAATACTAATTAAGAGATCGAAGCTCCCAACAAGTATTCATCATGAACAGATACACATCGAAATCATAATAATATTTTCAAAACAAGGAATAATTTCTCTAATGGTTTATTATAGAATACCAATGTATAGCTTAGAAATAAAACTTTGAATATTTCAAGAATATAGATAAGTCTAATTTTTAAATGCTGTATATATGGCTTTCACTCAATCATCTCAGATGTTGTTATTTACTCGCTCTGTGTTGTTGCAAAACTTTTTGGTGCGGACACGTTTCCAAAACTATTGCTACTTTGTGTGCTTTAAACAGAATACCTTGGGTTGATGTTATCAGCCTAGTGCTAGGAATACTGTGTATCTATCATTAGCTATATGGGGCTGTATCGTAGATTGTGGTTTCTCAGTAGAGAAGTGACTGTAGTGTGATTCTAGGTAAATCATCATTAGCAATTCATTCAGATGGTCAATAACTTGAAATTTATAGCTGTGATAGGGGTTCAGAAATTGGCACATCCCTTTAAAAATAACAACAGAAAAAAATACAACTCCTGGGAAAAAAAAAAAGGTGCTGATTCTATAAGATTCTTTATACATGTAAGTGTTTCAAAAAGATTATTTTCCAGAAAGTTTGTGCAGGGTTTAAGTTGCTACCATTCAACCACACTCTCTATATAAAAATATAATATATACAATGTAGGCGTTGCTTTTGCTGTATTGCATTAAAGTATGTGGGCTTCAGAAGTAAGAGCCAACCAACTGAAAACAGGAGGCGGAGAAGTGGAAAAAGAATCAAGTATGATTTTTAGTTTTCAGTTTAAGTGACTCTTGGCATTACAAAAAACATAAATCAAGTATCTCACAACTAAGAAACAACTAAAAATGTAGATAAAAGAACTGCACGGGCTTTAGGGTAAATGCTCAACTTCAACCTCACTGGAGGTAAGTTTTTCAAGTTTCAAGCAAGACCATTTACTTAATGTGAAGTTTTGGAAAGTTACAAAGGTGTATGTTTTAGCCATATGATTTGAATTTTTTATTTTGCTTCTTTTAGGTTTGTTCTTATTTAAAGCAATATGATTGTGTAACTACCTATAGTTACACTTGTGTTTCAATCAGATCAGATTGTTGTATTTATTCCACTATTTTGCATTTAAATGATAACATAAAAGATATAAAAAATTTAAAACTGCTATTTTTCTTATAGAAGAGAAAATGGGTGTCGGTGATTGTATTTTAATTATTTAAGCGTCTCTGTTTACCTGCCTAGGAAAACATTTTATGGCAGTCTTATGCGCAAAGATCATAAAAGGACAAAAAATTTAAACTGCTTATAATAATCCAGGAGTTGCATTATAGCCAGTAGTAAAAAGAATAATAATAATAATAAAACCATGTCTATAGCAGTAGATGGGCTTCACATCTGTAAAGCAATCAATTGTATATTTTTGTGATGTGTACCATACTGTGTGCTCCAGCAAATGTCCATTTGTGTAAATGTATTTATTTTATATTGTATATATTGTTAAATGCAAAAAGGAGATATGATTCTGTAACTCCAATCAGTTCAGACGTGTAACTCAAATTATTATGCCTTTCAGGATGACGGTAGAGCAATATTAAACAAGCTTCCACTTTTGATTGCTCTTTTGTATTGTGTTTCTTTTTTTCTTCCCCCACCAAAGAATCCAATCAATAAACACTGTCCTTTGTTGCTTCCATTCAAAGAGTATCTCTGAGAACCTGTTCCCTAAAAATAAAGTCGGAGTTTAAATAAGAGCTATATAAAGGCTTGTCAGGATGAATTCTAGGGTGCCAAGAGACATTTTGCATATTTAAGAGTATGCAAAGTGTCTGATGGCACATTAGAATTCATTCTGACAAGCCTTTATATAGCTCTTATTTAATCTTAAAGCATCTCCACATCATCCTGCATTACTCAAAATCATCGCCTCTGTGTCAATGTCATAACAGAAAACTTTCCCCCTATTTTAAGATCATATTAAAACCTGCTGGAGATACCTATTATTTCCCTCCATCCACAATTAAATCCTGTGCTTGCACTGAGCTCCTCCAGGAGCTGCAGGCTTCGGGGAACAGCAGGGCCTTTGCTGAATGGGCCCTCAACAGCAGAGCGTACGGATGGGTGTGCACGAGGAGGGTGATCTGTCTGAATTCATGAGCGTTCCACAGCCCTGCTGACAACAAACAGCCTCCCTTTGCCTCTGTCACTGGAAGAGGTTAAGGCCCTTGCTGGTCAGGGTCAAGTTGAGCTTCCACTGGACCCTTCTGGAGCCGTCACGGAAGTGCTAATACGTGCCTGCTTGGCTTCTCTGCCTATCTTGAGAGTGTTCTGTCACTGTGTTTGTCCACCGCATTTCTCACCTTTCAGAGGTGGCTGGTTCTCTAGAGAAGAAAGCCGATGACTCAAGGCTACAAAACTGAAACTGACTCAGGGGCAGGAGATTATCCAAGACACCAAGATGTACAGTGAACTCAGAGTTGTCTTCTGCTTTCATGTCCTTTGCCAGGCAGTTGCTCTACAAAGAATCTGTTATGTTTCACTTGGAGTATTTTCAAGTACTCGCATGAAGATAATGCAAGATACACGTCAAAAAAGTTATGTCTATAATCTTGCAGTGGGGTCCTCTTTTGAAAACATGTGTTACATGCACGGGTGCTTTTGAGCCCTTAAGTGTCTAAATCCTCTTGCTGGTTTTACGACGTAGAATTATTCAGAGCACTGCTCTGGTTCTGACATATTTGTCACGGATGCCTCAGGTGTACAGGAAGATAACCAAGTAGGTTCGTATTTTAGCATTTTATATTTTCTCAATAATATAAACAAGCTCAGACAAATTGTTTGTGTGCTTGTTTCCAGAGACTACTTTTCTTTTCACCTGTTGCTTAAAAATGATTTATCCCCGCTTCAGCTACTTGTTCTCAAATTTGGCTGCACTTTATTAACTCCTGAAGTATGTTTAAAATTCCTCATGCTCCTATCTCACCTCCAAATGATTGGGGTTCATTGGTGTGAGTTTTGACCTGGGCTTCAGAATAGTTTTTTCTTTGTTTTTTCAATCTCCAGGTGATGCTACTTTGAAGACAAGATGAGAAAACCACTGCTTTACAATTTTATACTTTAAGCCAGGCTGTGTCCTTAAAAAAAAAAAAAAAATGCATTGCTCTGAATTTTTGTGTGTACGCGATTAGCTTTGTTTTTGTTTGTTGTTGTTTTTGTTTTTACTATCAAGACAAAAGAAGGTAACCTGTGTG